ACACCTTTTAATTAAATTGGAGGATGTAAAATAGCTCAATGTTTTTCATTTTATAAGGTAAAAAGCGTAGACTATGAGGTGTTATGATCACGGGCAACGAGATACGGGTCAATTAGAGGTGGGAAGGATTGGGCCAGTAGTGGTATGTGGAAGCGAATTTCGTTAAAATAAGGCTAGGATTATTTCAATAAGTGAACTGATAAAATGTAATCGTTAGTAGGTCAAAACTCGATGATATGACCTTCTCGAACCCGACTACGTCTTTCTCAATTATGTGTATTTAAATATAATAGCCAAAAAAAAAATCCGGTATTTCAAGTAGATATGAATAGGCCCTTGCAGTTAACTGTCACGTATCTGTACTGGTTTATTTCAAATTGGTGATTCTTTTTACCTACTTGTAAAGAACTGAATGAAACGATGTGTATCCAGTGTGTTACGAAATGCAGTTTTATTACGATCTCTCGAAACAGGTTGTAGAAAGTTTGTTTGCTCACCAGTATATTTCACCCATGGGAATCAATTCAAGATGTTCATTCATTTGCTCTCAGTGAATTAATCAGCACGTGATTACTAGGCTGCAAAGGGCCTATTGGGTAGAACTATTGCCTTCACAGTATGTAAACTGAATACTAACAGTTAAGTGACTTACGAGTATCCAAATCCACACCCTCTTGGTTGTTTGCTGTTTTTGTTTTATTTTATTTTATTTTTTTAATCTATAGTTTATAGTTTTTTCGAATTACCGCTTTTATATACGGCCTACTCAAAGAGGCGTTTGCTAGTCCTAATAAATTATATTATATAAAAATAATTCTGAAAGTGCACATGAACCCTTCGACAATAATTTCAGTACTGATTCTGCATAAAGTAAATAGTTGATTGGTGAAATATGTTTTGAATTGAGTGATGCGTCTCTGAGTTATGAAGGTTTATACTTCCAATATGTTAATGATGATGACGTCAGCTAAGGTATTTGAGTGTTTTTGTTGTAACTAGTAATAATAAATGCTGGTCATTTTGAAAATACAAATTTAAAATAGCTTTCATGTAAACCATGAGTAAAATAATGATGCTTTTTAAATACTGTTTCTATGAACCAGTTCAATTTTGTATATTAAATTAAGCCTTAATAGACGTCATAATTATTAGCATATTGGAGGTACAAACCTTCATAACTTAGAGACATATCACTCAAATATTTTACCATTCAATCAATAGAATCAGTACTAAAAGTATTGTCAAAGAGTTCATTTGCACTTTAATGTTCACATTGATTGATTTAGCCTTTCCTCACCTGTACCACTGGTGATTGGTCACCAATATGTAAATAATCCATAATTTGCATAACGAAAGTATTTGTCGATCCGTCTCGGTTTTCACCTTAAGAAGAAAGCGAATTTGTGTGCCTAATACCGTTAAGTGATCATTTAAATCGATATCACCACTAGTAGAGGTAAGTTTTCCAATTAGCAATTCTAGCCTGCTTTAAATGTTAGTATTTATATGTAGATGGATATAAATGGTCGACAAACTCGCTACGAATGTAGGTATATATTTTTGGTGCCTTTTCGTGACTCGTATCGAAAGTACTTTATAATTCAGAGGTCCTATTTTCTGCTAGAAATAAGAATACGGTCCGATATCTTTGGAGCGTTATTGGGTATAGTCCTGTTGCAATAATGGCAATATATTCATCCTAGTAACGCCATATCCAATAAGCTCAACTTCTTTCCGTCTCGTAATTACTAACAGACTAGCAAGAAAAGAAAGAAAAAAGCAAGAATAGAAAACCCTGTATTTCTTTAATTTGCACAAAAAATTCTCCACGCTTTTATTGTTGATTTTCAAAGATATAGCAGTGAAAAAATCTCATGCAGTGATACCTAGAATTTATTGAATTGGTCCTTGAATCACGGAAGTACAGCATCGTATATG